TTGAGTTGCAATGTTAACAACTGGGAGTCTTGATAAGGCGTCAACATGAGTTTGTTGCTTTCCAGAACGATGAACGATGTTACATGATTTCGAGGATAAACTAAGAATCCATCTAAAATACTTAGGTTTCGGTTTCTTCATGGTGAAAAGCCATTGGAGCGCCGCATGATCAGTGATGATTTCAAATGGTTGGTTTTCTATGTATACATGAAAGTGATCAGTTGCTTGTATCAGGGCTAGGCATTCCATCTCATAAGCAGAATAATTCTCTTGGTGTGGTTGCAGTGTTTTGGAGTAATAAGCAATTACATGTTCCTCATTGTCTGGACCAATTTGTGTTAGGATTGCTCCAATTCCATATTTGGAGGCATCTGTATAAACTTTAGAGGGTAGTCCGGGTTGTAAATAGCAAGGACAGGTTTTGTAGATAGTGCCATTTTAAGTTTAGCGAATGACTCCTCTACTTCCTCATTCCAGATGAAGGGCTGATTCTTCCGAGTGAGTCGAACCAAGGGGAATGAAATTTTAGAAAAGTCCTTCACAAATTTTCTGTAATAATTTGCCAATCCCATGAACTGATGAACTTTCTTTACAGTATCAGGTCTTGGAAAGTCTTGAATAGATTTTACTTTTCCTGGATCAGGTTTTAATTGATTGTGACTGATGATATGTCCGAGGTATTTTACTTCAGTTCTTCCAAAAATACATTTCGATAATTTTAATTTCATGTTGTACTGTCTTAATTTGTCAAAAACTTTACTAAGAAGCTCTATGTGTTCTTGCCATGTTTTCGTGTACACCAATATGTCATCTTGGAAAGAGCAAGTTCCTTTCCATAATAATTCACCTAGAATATGTTGGATTATCCTTTGAAACGTTGAAGCAGCATTTTTTAAACCAAAGGGCATCACTAAAAACTCATAATGACCATCGTTTGTGACGAATGCAGTTTTTTGAATAGATTGCGGGTCCATTTCGATCTGCCAATAACCCCATGCAACATCAAGGGTAGAGAAGAATCTGGATCCATGCAATCGATCAAACATGTCCTGTATGTGAGGTAGGGGTTGCCTGTCATCCAGTGTGATCTCATTAAGACGTCTGTAATCAATGCACATCCTTTTATTTCCATCCTTCTTGGGAACCATAACAACAGGAAATGCCCAAGGAGAATCTGAAATTCTTATTAACTTGTGTTCGAGAAGTTCTTTAACTTGTTCAGCTATCTCTTCATACTCTTTTAGAGGACGACGATAGGGTCTAAGAGAAATTGGTTGTTCACTTTTCGTGATGATCTTATGTTGTATAGCTACTTTTCCCAAATCAATGGCATGCTGAGAAAATACATTCCTATTGTGTTCAAGTATTTTTTTTAATTCATGTTCTCTTATCTCTTCTAGATGATTTACAAGAATTGGATTTTGTAATCCATCAAATTTAGTGTAAATTGTTTTGTCTTTGACGTCTATTAAAAGATTAAAAAGAGATGCAACATCTAATCCGATCAAGAGTGGATATTTAAAGTTCTTCATTACATGGAGAGTTACAGGTTTAATTAGTTTATCTATTCTTACCTTGGTCTGAAGGCTTCCACATGTCCTGGTAACACCATCCGCTTGGCTGATGTGAATGTCTGAATTTGGTTGAAGTTGAAGACGGGTTCGCTTGAACAATCGCCAATTGATTATTGATACTGTTGCTCCAGTATCCACAAATGCTTGCGCAGGAATTCCATTTACTTCAACACTTATGTTGATAAGCTTGAAAGCTCCTTGTGTAGGGGTATTTGTCAAAGTACTTACATTCAACAATTCCGGGGCTCCGCATACTTGTTTCACTGAAGTGTTTTGATTAGGCCTATCCTTTTTATAATTAGGATCATAATCCTCACAATCTGTGACCCAATGTTTAATTTTTATTCCCTTTTTCGAACATATTGGACACCAGAATGGGCATACATTTTTTCTATTATCATTATTTTTTGTCGCGAGATGTATTTTGTTTTTAGGCTTAAACTGAATTGAAGCCCTATTTTGTTCAATTGAAGCTGCGATATGAAACCATTTTGTGGCGTCAGTTGGCTGTGCAGCCACAATTAAATCTTTCCAATCATTTGGAAGTCCGTCTGTTAATAAATGAATTTTTTCCTCCTTCGTTAGATGGGTTTGATTTAGCAGGCGAATTTTATCTTGAAAATAATTTTCTATTGATTCTTCTCGTTTTAATCTTCGATGTGATGCTGAGACAATTGGATTTGCGTTGTATGAACCAAATCTTTGAATCAACTTTTCCTTTACAACTTCCCATCTTTTTATTGAAGGATTTGAAATAATCTCATCTGCATACCATTCAAGTGCTGAATCTGTCAAATAGTACATAAGATTTTTGATTTTTTCATCTTCTTTTAAAGAATTATTTTCAAAATCATATAATTTGATCCATGACTCAGGCCTAATTGCCAACTTCGAGCCGTTGAATTTTTGCAACCGGTTGTTTGGATTTTCCGCCATTTTTTTTTCCGTATCCTTTTCGACTGCGCCAAATGCCACGTTTTTATTTTTAAAACGCTAATTTTAGTTTAGTAAAACTTTATTTTTAAAGTTTATTATTTTAAAAGTGAAATGTTTGTTAATGAAATAGACACTTTGCCTAAACTCATTTATTGCTGCTTTTGTTTACAAGCCATTTGTTTATGGATATTTTTACATATCGTTTTTATTGAGTTTTTACTAATTTAGTATGTACATCATTGACTTTTGATGAATAAAAAATTAAAATGAAAATAAACATATGAAAAATTAAAGTAACATTTTAAAGGAATTTATGTACAATTGAAAATTGTTTCTGTAACGTCTCAATATATAAATAAAACAAAGGCCAGAACAAAAATTAATAAAAAATACGAAAGCCATTGTTTACATACAGTAACGATAATTTTGTAAAGTTTTTTTTTTTTAAGTTGCATTGTGTGCACTTACCGTAACTTAGTAATATAAATTTCGCTCTCAATACTTTTGTAAAAAAAGTGACACTCGTATTAAAAGATATTTGAAAAAAAGTACGCAAGCAACTTGAAAAGAAATGCAGAACGCTCATTGGTCGCTTAATTGGCCTGGTGTTGTTACTTCGCCTCGTATTTACTCCGCGTAAAAAAAAGTTATTCAAATGAAAAAAAGAAATAGCCAAAAATATTAATCAAAATGTAGCCGAAAATTTTCCTCAGGTTTATAAAAGGCGACATGCAAAATTTGGTACCAATTGGTTCAGTAGTTTTTGAGTTTATCGCGAAACAGACATTGACTTTTATATATAGAGAGATAAATCTAAAATGCAAATTTTTTTAAATAGATTTATAAAACTTTGAATTTTGTTGTACATATGTATAGTTGAACCTACCTATTTTTAAAATCACGAATATAGAATTCATTTTATAAATTATATATTACTGTGATAAATAATTTTATGTAATTTACTTCAAGTAATTCAAAATAAAAACTACTTGATGGATAAATAATTATCATTTCTTTTTTCAAGACTGCACCTCCAATTCTATCTTTTTCAACAACAAAAACAAAAAATTCATAACATATATATATATAAATATTAGATAATAAAAGGCATATATTGGATTTACTAAAATATTTATTTTGCCAATATTTCGGCTGGCTGAACGCCAACCTTTATCGAGGCATTACATTTTTGTATAACACTATGCGGCGCTGAGTTTGTATATACAAAAAAATGTAATGCCTCGATAAAGGTTGGCGTTCAGCCAGCCGAAATATTGGCAAAATAAATATTTTATTAAATCCAATATATGCCTTTTATTATCTAATGAATTAAGTATGGATTGCTCTATTTTCAAAACAATATATATATATATATATTAAGTATTTAAAAAATGACCTACAAAGACATACGGTGTGATTATAATCTATAAACCATAAAGAACCAAAAACTCAATAAAATATAATATATATAGAGGCGATTCTGCAAATTTTCTCAAATGCAGATTTATAATCCAATTTTTTAAATCCGATCAGACGACCCCCAACAAATTTATTTAATATTCGAAGCGAATAAAAAATGCTGCCATTTTCTCTATTAGATTCAGAAGATAAAACTAAATCATTTCGGCTTAACCATTATTTAACTAGTAAATTTCAGGTAAATCTTGTTATTTAATTCACTCAAGGTGAGTAGATAATAATATATTAGACAAGATATATAAATTTAAAAGATTTAACTATTATTTATTAGATTAAATTTGTATATAATGTGTTTGTTTTTCTTCATTATAAAACTTTAATATACCATTATTGAATAATTCAATTTGATTGTATATTAAATATATAACGAATAAGACATTAAGATGCGAATGTTTCTTTTTACAAATAAATAAAACTTTTACTGTCCTTACTGCGATGAAAAAAATAGTGGGAGGGCTTGGCTTATAAGTGGTGAACACTCCCAGTGGTTTTGCCAATTTAATCTACCAGACCGCTTCTTTAGAGCTCTAATACTGTATTGGATCATTAACAATTAATCCGCCTTCCACATGCTTACGGATAAGCATTTTAAGGCACAATATATTTGAGAGTCACCAAGCGCCCGTCGCATTGGAGGGCCAAGGAGAGGGCTGGAGAGGCGCTGGCAGGGCAGTGGGCACCCCGGGGGAGAAGAGGGCGAGGGCGCCGTTTATGAGGGTACCAAGGCAGCACCAAGCACAGCTAAAGCGCCGCAGGCTTCAAAATATTTAAGGGATCATTTCAGTGATCAAGATCAAGAGATCAAGATTCAGAGATCAATATACTGTATTGGATCATTCTGCTTTTATATGCTGCCATTATAAGCCAAGCCCTCTCAATATTTTTTCATCGCTGTAAGGATAGTAGAAGTTTGATATACTTGTGAAAAGAAACATTCGCGTCTTAATGTTTTCATTCGTTATATATAGATAGCGCGTTATTCTTTTCTATTAGTTTATAATAAAATTATGGGCACACATAGTACATTGGAAACACCGTTTTTCGTTAGATCACCGAAGTTAAGCAATGTTAGACCAGGTCATCACTTGGGAGGGTGACCACTTGGGAACACTGGGGCTGTAGGTTTTTTCTATTTCGATATTCCGACAACTGATCGAATCCCCCATTGGACACTTTTTTTCTAAAAGAAAAATATGTTTCAAATGCTCCCAAATCTTGAAAATTAAAACCATATCATCGAGTGCAGGCAACCAAAAGGTGCTCTGACACACTTGTAAGTTCAAAAATCGAACTGCTTTCTACCTGCATAGACATATGATGCACTTACAGTAAGCAAAGCAGTCGATAACAATCTATCATGATTATTATGGTCTATAAAACGTGTTTCAAGTAGGGATAATAATAAATGTATATATATATATATGTTATGAATAATTTGTTTGTTGTTAGATAAAGAGTTGATAAAACAAAGGATAGATAAGATAAAGGGTTAAAGGTGCAGTCGTGATAAGAAAATTATAATTATTTACCGTCAAGTAGCTTTTATTTTCAATTACTTGAGGAAAGATTGCACATTAGTTATTTTCACAATATATAGAATTTATAAAGTTAATACTATATTAGTGATTTGAAAGGATAGATATGTTAACTACGCATATTTACGACAAAACTGATAGTCTTTCTAAAAAAGATGATAACAAAAGTAAAATTATCAATGAATAAAAATAAAATATAGAAATATTTGAGTTTTTAGATTATATATAATATAACAGTATTAATAGAAAAATTGACATACCTCCGTTATATATACAGTTCAAATCGATTTAAAATTCTTTTATTATATATATACTTATTAGGAATCATATATTATTTTTTAATTTTTATAAATGTACATATATAGTCTATTCTTATTAATATTTGTTTGTGTGTATATATTTTAAATTTTATCCCCACAGAGTTGCAAATATTTATATATCGTCGCGTGAAGGCATCACGTGATGAACCAAAGCAGTTCAAAAACAAGAAAAGCCCTGACGAAGTTAGGCGTATAGCCAATTGAAATATTGGCATTTATATTAAATAAAATATTTATTTTATTTTTGATCCAAAATATGCTATTCAATTAATAATATATATATATTAAAACAATAAAAATCAACTACGAACGCTTTTCGGGCTGTTAGTCCACGTAAACGTGGTGCAAGCTGTATCTCAAAGACCAAATATTTGAACTAAGGCTTCCTGAGAAATCAAGAAAGGGTGTTTTAAGACCATATTTGCGTAAATCGCTGTCTAGGTAAAAAATGTTTTTTAAATGTCAGGTGTTGATATTAAAAACATAAAAAAAAGATTATCTTGACCGCTCATATGTACATTTTAGATGTGGGGATGAAGAATGAAAGAATGAATTGTGAAGAGTAATGATAAACGGAATTTTCCCTGGACACTTTAATTTTTCCGTTCATCATTACTCTTCACAATTAACCTTTCATACTTCATACCTATGGATAGAAATAGTCGTTATTTTCCTTAAAATAGATTACGATTTTTCGTTTAAAAGAAACATTTGCGTTTAAAATTGTCAAAAGTCGTTTTTACATGCATAGTTATAATTAAACATATATGTAACTAGCGGATGTGTACCCGGCTTCGCCCGGGTTTTATCCGAGTGAAATTTTGCCTAACGAATATTATTGATAATAATATTCGGGAACACACAGAATATTATGATAATAATGATAATATAATTCGTTACGTCATATATTTATATAATATATGAAATTTATTTTTTGAGCAAACATATCCACTCTGTCTACTGAATAGATTTTTAAAAAGATATACATAAATAAAAATATCTAGATATATACTACATGATCTTAGCCAAAAGGCCGAGAAACGATATTTTATATATAGAGATGACCTGGCTTCGTGTGTCTTCTGCTCGAGTGAATGTTTCGCTGGTAGAATTTTGTTCCTGCCTACTATTAATCATTATCTGGTTCGCCCGTGGTCTGCTTTAGTGATAATTCCCCAAAATAATTTTTTAATGCAATCAAGCATGATACGGCAATATTGTCATAATCATTTCTGACTAAAAAAATATTGTTGCTCAGTACTTGGTTAAATATAATTTTTATTGGTTAAAGTGCGACAAAAAAAAAAACTCTTCCAGATTTAGCCCTCTGTCCTGTTCAAATTTCAGCGAGATTAGTTACATATTGAGGGCGTGCATAGCCGACAAACATGTATATATATATATGTTCCCGGCTTCGCCCGATTTTTACCCGAGTAAAAGTTTGCTTAACAAACATTTGTTAAAACGATTCTAGCAAACATCCAATCCCTACTGAATCTATACTTGTCTACACTCTCGATAATTTTTTTCCGGTCCCTTGAAAAATACTCGATATGTTGAAAAAAATCAGTATTAATTGGTCCACTCGGTAATTTGAAGTTGAAGGAATAGTATCTTGCCACAAACGAAGATTTGTAAATAACTGTATTTAGCGAATGTACCCGGCTTCGCACAGTTTTTATCCGAGTAAAAGTTTGTCTAACGAACATTTGTTAAAACGATTCTAGAAAACATCCAATCCACCTATATATAAATTTATAAACGTATATAAATATTGTTATATGCGTTTAAATATATTTTTGAAACACATAATGTTTTGAAAACATTAATTATATTTTAAATAAGATATTGTCACTTTTGTGAATTTGATAATTAATTATTTCTTTTTTCTCAATAAATTATATATATTAATTAAAATTTTCCTTTTTGTTATCATCATCACATACAATGTAATTTTTTTATATAAACAAACGATAATAAACAACAACAATTAGGGGCTCAAAAATCATTTATTATGGTTAGCAGCTCCGTAAATAAAGATATTTTCTCAACAACAATTAAAGTTGCATCATCATTTTTATAAAACATCAGCAAATTAAATTAACAATGTAAAAATATATTTTAACATTACATTTTAACATTTAACACAAAACGTTACAATTTTATTTTTTAAATATATATTAATATTGAAATGCCAAGTATTTTTACGTCATTGGAATATTATATTGTCACGGTAGTGATAACGAGTATAACAAGGGCAGGAATTCATAGAGTCCGTCAGGGGTAATAAAGGCAGTTTTTTCTCTATCTGCTTCGTCGACTTCTATTTGCCAATATCCTGAACGAAGGTCCATTGATGAATAAAATTTGGCTCCTTTCGGGGAGTCGAGTGTATCATCGATTCGGGGTAGTGGGTAAACGTCTTTTTTAGTAACCTTGTTTAGTCGTCTGTAATCCACACAGAAACGCCAGTTACCATCCTTCTTCTTCACTAAAATAACCGGCAAGGACCATGGATTTTCTGAATGACGTATAATCCCGGCGTCTAGCATTTTGTCCACTTCCGTTTGGATTGCTTGGCGTTCTGTAGGGGAGACTCGATATGGTCTATGCTTAATAGGCTGATGGATTCCAGTTTCAATTTTATGTTTGGTTACTGAAGTTTGCTTTACTGGTTCATTATTTTTATCAAATATTTTATCATGTCGCTTTAAAATTGATGAGATTTGAGACTGCTGCTCCTCTGATTAATCATCACTAATTAGATTTTGTAAAATTTAAAGTCACCTTTATCAGCATGACTGGCATGATTCACATCTTTCACCTCCTTATTAAATTCAGAACATTCTGAAATAGCCGTCAAGTTATTTTCTTCAACCCTTTGAATTTTTCCCAGGCACATTCCCTTAGGGACTATTTGAGCTGTGGTGCCAGAATTTACGATCCAAAGTTTTCCTTTATTATGGGAAAGCCTGAATAATGCACAGGGAAGTGTTAACCCTTTTCCTATTGATACCTTTTTCGAAGGTTCAAAAAGTACCTGATTTTGCCCATTAAGCTCTTCACTCATAACATTTATTAGTTTGGCAGATTCGGCTGGGATTACGACGCTTCTGCTAGCCACAACCTTTCCCATGGAAGCTGGTGAATTTAGTACATCTTTGGCCTCTTCCAATCTGATTTCGGCGCGTCCACAATCAATCACGGCATTTGATGCCTCTAGGAAATCCCATCCGAGGATAATACTTGGGTTACTATTAGGGAGGACGATAAACTCAAGCGGCTGTTCCAATCCATTGATGCTCAAGCTGATTGTGCATCGGCCGATCGATGTAACATTCTTGCCATCAGCAACTTTCAGAGTCATTCCGCTATCCTTGAACATGGTCTTTTTTAATTGTCGTCTTAATCCATCAGAGATAACCGAAAAAGAGGAACCTGAATCGACTAGAGCAGAAAACGCAATGTCATCAATGATGATTTCGACATAATTTTGTTCTAATTTAGCGGCTGTCGACGATGGAGGGTTTTTCACACCCGCGGCTTCCCCCTCGAAAGAAGACGCGACGCTTAGTTTTTTTTCTAGATTGTAGCGGCGTGGGGATTGGCTTGTATGGCGGTCTGGGGAAATGGACTGGCGTCTTGGGGATCTTCCTCTGTTTGGATACGGCGATTGTCTGCGGTAGATTTGGCTTCTTATGGCTTGGTGGTTACCCATTTGAGGTTCTTGGGTGCTTGGTGCATGTCCTTCGGGTCTCTGCGTCCATTGTCGTCGTTCTCTACAATATCGCTTAACATGGCCTGGGCGGCCGCAATTAAAACATATTGGGATGTTGTCATGCGTCCTCCATTCATCCGTTCTTCGTTGTTTTGGGTGTTTGGGTAGGGTACTGACGTCGTGGAACCTGGCTGAATGTACGTGTTTGGTTGGGGTACGACTGTCGTGGCGGAGGCCTTTGAATAGGCTTCGAAATTGAAGCTACGTTTTTTTCAATCTCTTCTCGGATAATTTCTTTCAGAGAAGATGGTTCAGGGGTAGTTGACTCGGGATTTAGTGCGCGATGAACTTCTTCACGCACGATGCGTCGGATTAAGTCTTCCATTGATTCAGAGTCTGCTGAATCGATGGTGGCAACATTCGGTAGTCTGTCGAATACTACACGTTTATTTACACGTTTTTTATTTGAAGCCTCGATTTTACGGCACCATTTGATGAACTCATCGATAGTTGCGATGTCTAAAATGATTATTGACTGATATATCTCCTCCGAT